GGTCCCTGTGCTGGTGACACCTACTTCTCAGTCAATGCATACGTGGCGGACGACCAGTTGGGTTGCAGTGGACAGGGATTGAATTCAGTGTCCATTCCCTACAACAACGCCAGGATTTACGGAAAGACTTGCAATCAAATCTGTAGTATTGATTCGCGATACCACTCCTACTTTATATTCAGCCCACCCCTCACCAACTAATGTACATGGTTACATCTGCCTGGTAAAATGGTTAATATATGTAGTTGAAAATATAATTTGCTTGATGATTAAATAAAATTTTGAATTAAATAGCATTTTATGAAATGTCTTTATTGATTTATTTGTTAAATAATGATACAACTTTATAGCTTAATTTCATAAAATTTGATTGACATTACTTGAACAATATTTAATTTGCAGTATATTACCATGCTATTTAAGAACTTATTATTAACGATTGCCAAAATTAACATGTATTACATGTTAATTATATGTGTAAATAATGAAAACCTCAAATATAGTTGTAATTTATCATGACAGCTAAACTTAAATCACTACATGAATATAGGATTTATATTTGATTTTTACATTTGAAATAAAATTAATGATACATACATTTAATAAATAATCAAAATGTTGACAATCCTCAACTTTATTTCAGGTATAATGAACATGATAGGTTTAAGGTCATGTCACATTACTTTTAATTTTTACGTTAATATAAAAAGGATTTAAATTAAATTTATTATTAATCTTAAAAGCAACATTTGTTAAATTATAAATGTTTATACACTCTGTAAATTTAACACATTTATCAATTTCAAAATATTAATTTTTATAAGAGTTGTTAAATTATTATAATATTATTAGATTATGACTAATGACATTGCTTACGTACTGTATGTTGCGATCAAATATAAATAATATATCAAGCTTGCTTGATTAAGGATTTAAAACATATTTTTAAAAAATAATTTATTTTTATTTTGGCATTTATATTATTATATTGAATAAGAAATCTAATTTTAGCAAGAGTAAATATAATTAATTATATATTGGTACGCACAACACTATTATTGTGTAATATTGCAATTAATAATAATGCCAATAAAACTAGAAAGCGGATTTCAAAAATACTATATATACGTAGGATTTTACTCTGAACAAATAATTTCTAATTTACTTAAAATTGTTATTTTTATATATTTAACAGATTTAAATAATGAATCAATTAATATGTATCGTGGTCATTGTTTGCGCAGGTATTTATTTGTTTTATTTATAATAAATATATTTTTAAAATTAAAACATAATTTTTAAAATAGTTGCGATTATGGGGACTAAATCTGAACCCAGGTTTTCGGGACCAGTGGGTGACTGTTTGGGACACAAACCTAGTTTTGGTGGCACAGATAATCAGCCAGGCATATGGCCTGGTAAGTATTTAAATATAATAAACAAATTAATTTTTGTTAGATAGTAGTTACGATGAAATCTTATTTTTATGAAAATAATTAAATAGTGACACAAAGTAACGGACACTTCACGGATGCCAACGCCCAACGATTCCCGAACAGTGACCCCGGAAAACGAATTGGTAAAAATAGTCTACAATGATACGTTTGAAATTTATGATAACTGTTTAATAATTTAAAATTTAAAATATTTCTGAAATGTATAGCAATCACGCCTTTCCGGGCCACCAATCAGACCATTTATAAGCGGGTCGTGTGCACCGGCGGGCCCGTACAGGAGATCCACGTGAACGCCACCTTTGAATACGACACCACTTGCAACGGCTATAATGCGTGGGTGTCACCATGGACATACCATGTGCTCGCTAATGGACAACAACAGGACATGGTGTTTGGCAACTTTTCTCAGTACTATACATACCTTAATGGTAAGTAATATTTGATAGTAAAATAGTAACTTTTCAAAAATACAATAAAAATTAGCTATGTTATTTATTCTTAAAATTGTTGGTTAGTAATTTTAAAATATATACTTACCAATACAATCAAACTTATTACATTTAATTAATAAACTTTTTTGTCAATGCAGGTAATATGTACGAAGCTCATTTTGGACAAATAACTTCCGGTCCCTGTGCTGGTGACACCTACTTCTCAGTCAATGCATACGTGGCGGACGACCAGTTGGGTTGCAGTGGACAGGGATTGAAATCAGTGTCCATTCCCTACAA